TCTGAGTCTGTGGTCCAGCGTTCTCACCTGACGCGATGGCATGTACCTGTAACTCCCTCTGTACCTGCTCTCTGAGCTGACCTCACCTGTCCTCGCTGTGCTCCTGCTCTCGGTGCTCTGACTGCCTGCTGAGGAGCTGACCGACACCTCGTAGCTACGCCCAGGGGTCAGACCCTCAAACTCCACTTGGGTGATGTTGGGGAGAAGGTGACGTAGCTGAGGGTCGGATCCTGGAGCCCTCAGGGTCACCAGGTAGGACTCCACCCCTCCTTCAGGTGGGAGCCAGGAGGCCCGCAGGTGAACTGAGCTGCCGTTGTTTTCGAGGACGAGACGTGACACTGGTGCTGGGGCTGAAGAAGAGGAGGAGGACCCACGTTAGACTCATGTTTGCACAGTTTTCTCCTCTTCTTCCTGTTTCACCTGAACTTCACCAACTCATGTGTTCACCTGCAAACAGCAGCAGTGTTTCAGAAGCTGGTTAATGGGCGTTTATGTAATGTGGTGTGGGTGGAGTCTGTGCCACGTGTGAACAGATTTACTGAAGCGATGAAGAGGCTGGGTGAGGTGAGCAGCTGTAGACAGAGGAAGGGCGTGAGGAAGAAAGGTCTGAAACATCCCGGAAACACCGCTGAAAGAAAAACAGAGCCGCAGGACGACGAAGATCCAGTTTTTATCTTCACGCTGAAGCTCGAGCGCTCAGAGGAATGAAGACAACTTCATAAACTTCATGCTGACAGAAACTATTTTACAGGCTAACAACGCCAGTTGCAAATCTCACAGCTGGTCGGCTGTCCAACAAACACGTGACTCATTTAAGACAGCAGCAGGACGCAGTGAGTGGATTCACTGCATCAACGCATTAAAGTCTGAACCAGAAAAACAGATCGAGGGCATCAAAACGACCGAGGTCACGTTGGGGACTGTAAACAACAAAGATATTTAACGACGCTGCTAAACTCTGCGGAAATAAAACGCAGCGATGTTCACGTTGTAGATGCCTCCACAGATATTTGGGACTCAAACCCTATACTGCAAAGTGCGGGTGGGGTCAGCAATGATGACCTCAGACGGTTAAATCTGATTGGTCAGTCGTGAACTCTGAAAAGACGTCATTTTACGCCTATGTGTGGTTGAAAGGTTGAGACACAGATGAAAGGTTGTCTCCTCAAGCTCATTTTAGCCGTGACTTCCT